GGCTCAAAACACCAGAGGGTGGGGTTTGAAGTGTGGTTCAGTTGGAGATTTGCAATGCAACATTTCACACCTCATTCATTTATGGAATGCATGGTGCTAAATATCAAACACTGAGGTTGTGTTTAGAGGACAGTAGAGTTGTAGGAAATTGGTAGATTTGCACAGAAATCCTCAGACCTGTGACAGCAACACACTGGAATCCTGAAACTGTAGCAATGTGCATGTATTCAACCCCCTGAGGGGCAGGACATGAACATACTCACTTTTTTATATTTTACTAACTGGACCAAATGAAGCATTTTCCTCATTAGTGCCATCTACTGTTCAGTGGGCCAAATTAGCTTGCAATTCAATTACCTAGTCACTTCTGCGTATAAACAGACAGCATTGAAATCACCTCCAAGAGTCATTTTTAATTAGGTGAATTCCTGCACTGTTGCTGACAACTCAAAAAGGAAATCAGCTAACAGGATCTTGCTTTCCACCCCCAGCTGGTGTGCTTTTTCTCCAACAACATGCCTGCCAGAGAAAATCTCTTCATTCACATTGTCGGAAACAGTAGTGCTGCTTCACACTGGGAAAGAATGATATTTCAATCTAATCTGTTACAGAAACATTACATTATTGCTCAGACCATAAAATATAAGTTTAAAACACCCAAGTTTTTGCATGAAGCTAGACAGAAGTAACTGGACTATATACTATAATGAAATATTCTCGTTTTGGGGTTTTTGTTAAAAAATGTGTACTATGAAAATGGAAGAAGAAAAATAAACTTTTCATGTTTCATGTTTTGTATGACAGGTTTTTAAAAAACAATAAAAGAACAAATATTTTATTAGAAAGAATTCCTATAAAATACACAGTGATCACTGACACACAAACCTCTGATTATTCAAATTAAACTAAGAATATATGTGGCTGAGAGCATGAACATAATTACAAGGTTGACCTGTGACCATCAGAACTTTCTTAGTTTTGGACCCGCCTGTGTCCCACTCTGTCTGGATAATGGCTGCAGATGCAAAAAATACTCTTCAGCCTATAGTTCGTGCACCTATGGTATGAAATATAACATCTTACATCACCTTATTCTCAGGTTATTGCATTCACATGAATTTCAGGATCCCTGACCTTAAGGCCAAAGTCACTGAGATTCAAACTCATTCAATCAATTTGAAACTCCTACACTGCTTCGTTCTTGAGTTCTCACATTCACAAACTTAAGTTGCAGCAGTGGGAAACCAAAAATGCTTGTGAGTTAGCGACAGCTGCAGAATCCTGGAAGAAGAACTTCAGCATTCTCTAAAAAAAAAATCATCTTTCCATAAATTTAGCCAACACTCGTATCATCCATGCTGAAGACTGAGTCACTGATAATAAAAGGGGAACATATGGAGTATTTGAAACTAATATATGAGATTTGTGTAATTTAGATTTGTGAAAGAAAGATGCAGTCTGGGAAACCATCAGCTATCATCTGCTGACTTGGGCTTCTGCTGTAGCCATATTGTGCATAAATATAGTAAAAACAAGGAAAACAAGCTCATGAAAATTCAACCTCCAACCACATCCTACTTAAACTACCTAAACTTAAATGTATCCTCCTTAATGTTATGTTGTACTGCAAGGTGACAGAGTTTTGAATGATTTGACATGTAGATGACATTGCACAATGCTGTACTCACATATTTACAATATGCTAGTGTCTCTAGTTGACAAGAAAACAGAGCAATAGGCCAACCTCCAAGAAAGTATACATGATAGTTTAATGAGCGTATGGTAGAGGGTGAATAATATGTGCCATACATGCAGATCTTCTGATCAAGCCCAGGGATTTGAGCTGACAACCTCCCACCTCTGCATGTGTCTTTGTACTAAATATCCTACAGAACACCTGAGCAGTAGAGGGGATTTCAAAGAAAGTCAGTAGGATAAAGTTAGTAGACTCCGTGCAGGGTGCAGCTACCTGCCGACAGTTCTGTGACAACATGCGAGTCCTTCAAAAGCCAACGCTTCCAGCACTGAATATTTGCATATATACATATATGCATATAAAAAGATGCACATAAATGAGGCTTTTAAAATTTATCAGGCTGTGCATGTTGCAACTGAAGCTCACACACCTGCTCCTGCTGTTAACCAAATATTTTCTGACACAGCTCACACCGTGTGCAGCCAGAAATGTAGGGGATTATATATGTGGTTGGTATCTCCATAAGGTGATGTCTTAATTGCATTGTGTGGACAATTTGTTCTCCTGGCGATTCTTCTAAGCAGTGGTTCTCCAACAGGGCTTCAGGCAAACTCTCAGCCCATATCTGCACGCCTTTGATCAAAGCAGCTAAATAGCACTACCCAGATGACGCCCTGAGGGCCGAGGTTAGAGGAGACCTCTTTTTTTTATAGCAAAAATTAGCACACAGCAAGCTAACATGGCTGAAAGAGTGACATAGAGCTGAGTGACAGGGTTGAGGGAAGAATGGCTGCTCCGTTTCTACTAAACTCATTGTTTAAGGTTAACGTTGAACCAGTGAGGTTCATAAACACCTAAAATCCAGTAACATTAATTCATTTAAATTCTGCCATCAACATGTTGCACCTCATCAGGTGACTTAAGTAAGTAAAGACAATCTTAGGGACATACTCACATTGAATGACCCTTCATCATTGTCTTTGAGTATTATAGCCCTTATAAACTTGCTTGGGTTAAATGACCAACTGCCTCAGTACCACACTGAACTTTCAGTGTGGTACATTCAGTTTGGAAAAACACGCTACACCTTATCTGCCCAACACCAAACAGCAGACAGTCACATATTCATTTACATCTCAAGATATTTCCCTCAGAACCAAAACAGAGCAAAAACTATAGTTTGTTTCTTGGTTTATTTGGTTTTTTTTGCATTCATAAAGCTAAGGCATAATACTTGCTAACCAAGTAAACTTGTTAGCACTAACAATTAGCTTAGCACTCTACCATCTCATTAAAAAAATGGTCAATTTTGGATTAAAAGAAAAACAAATATCATCGTAGCAACCTAAACACTAATGTGGAGGTTTCATGCTCCAACCAGCGACATCCCTATTTTGGATTGCATGCTATGGTTTGAGAGTTTCTTGTGACGCCACCAAGTCGTCAAAAAAATGATTCACAAACCAGCAGTTGTTTATATTTAACCAAATGCAGCCATTGATTTTGAATTGGTGCATGCTGTAAGAAGGGAAAAACGTCCTTAAGAATTAAAGTTCAACTGAAATCATGATTTTCTGTTAAGGTCAATCAAACCCTGCTTTCTTAAGTATACAACAGGGTTATTTGCCCCATAGCAAAAACCTCTAGCATTGAAATACTTTTTGGGTATTGAGGAAATAAGTTTGGCTTTTTTTTCTAAATGTGATTTGTGTGTGAGAAGTGCTCATTTCTCACCAGTCGGGCTCACAGGTGGTCCCAATCTTGCTTACAGTGTATCTGTTCCATCCCAGCACTGGAGGGAAGGTCCAGATGAAGGAGAAGGACCAAACAAACACAAGACCCAGGATCGCGTGCTTCGCTTGCAGTCGGATGTTACCCAGGGGCCGGCAGATCACAAAGAACCTTTCAAAGGACAGGACAGCCAGGGACCAGAGGGCCACGATCCCTTAGGGAAACAGCAGGAGGTCAATGTGGTTGAGCCAAGTGGGACATTTACCAGTGATACACAGCAACATCCCAGATGTCTGGGTAAAAGCAGCTGCCCTGGTGCTGAAATAGTTTAATGATCTGAGATGGGTACATTAGGTTATCCCCTAATGAGCTTTGTTTTAAAAAGGCAGTATTTAATTGTGGTAATAAGTCTCTCTCATAGAAGAGCTAATTGCTTATCTCTCCACAGTGAGATTCTTCACGTGTGTTTCTGCTAGAGTCACTGGGGAGAACTAAAGACGGGCATAAACGAAGGTGTTCAATTATCACACATTTAAACAAAAGCCTCTGGCATATAGGTTCCCAAATACAATTCTTACCACTACTCCCGATGGTGGTTTTATAGCTTTTAAAGTTCTGATAACTGAACATCAAAGGAGGGTTTTTCTAGAAGAATGCAGTTTTTACCCATTAAGATTTAATGTATTTATCTGTACAGCACAGGTGAAGTACAAAGACCTAAAAATAGACACAAACAGAAAACATTCTCCCCCTGAGTAGAATATTAATTGGAGCATCCACCCTGTTCGAGGGGAGAAGCTCACCTAATGTAATGACTTTCATATTTACCCACACCCTTTTACACGCACACACGAATAATAGCAATGACACTGGAGTTAATCACTTAAAAGTGCTGTTAAAGCAAAAAAATTCGAGTGGCTTTTCACCATGAGCCTATGGAAGATGTGCGCTCCACTTCAGCGGGTTATTGATTATGTATCAGCACAGCTTCTTCAGTTATTATCTAGACTTTGCAGCTTAGGATCAAAATCTGTTCAGCCTTCCAGCACATGGCCACACAAGTCATTTGTTTTCACTCGTTCAGTAATAACTGTACGCTGCAGGGTTGCAATGCAGCGCATTACAGCAATTTGTCCCCACAAATAGCCCACACAACACGTTATAATCATGGAGCAAATAGAGATCAATACATTGATTTCTGGAGTTATTTGACATCACTGTCTCTGTGTAAGCTCTGGGTACAGATGCCATCAACTAATGCACTGCATAATGCCGTTCTGGTAAAGAGCATATACAGTACTGCAATAAGCTGGCTCATTAAAGCACCACACGTGACAGTAATTTGATAATATTCTCATTAAGTTGCATGAAAATATAAATTCATTATAAATTAATATTTCCTGTTGACAGTCTGTCAGTTTTACTGACTTAGACAAAAACATCCTTTTACTTCATGTGCCATTCCTCTCTGAAACCATGTCACAAATCCAATAAGGCTTTGCATAAAATGATTACGTATTCAGACTTTATGTACTGCAGGTGTCTCACCAGATGCCCATGATCCCACACAGCATGGGAACCTCTGTATGCCATTCCAGCCCACCTACTTGGTTATTGGTGGTCACAGCGCTGGTAACCTACTTAAAGCAAGTCATGTACAAAAGTGTGTGAGAAGGCTTCTGTACCAGGAACGCTTTAAATACTGCTTTACACTCTGGACTCACACAGCAGCAGGAAGCAAATACTATCCAGGTTCAGTTTAAACATAATGCACTGTTTATAAAACAGCCCTCAAAAGAATCAAACTTCAAGTTAACAGTGAGACTGATATACATTTTGGAGTTATAGTTTTACTTTGGCCAGCAATGTCTATCATCCCGATCCGTGTGCTTTTGGTGTCTTGGTTACAACTGAGGTTTAAAGGGTGTGTGTCAGATAGAATGGATTTTTAAATATTAGTCCTGAGCTGTTTAAACAAATGTGTTCTTTTACACACATTTAAAATCAGTCTACACGTTGATGGATGCCAGAATGCATTTATTATTTCAACATTTCTCCTGTCATTGTAAGAAAGTGGTGCTTTAATCGTTTGAATCTTGTCCAAGGAAAGCAAGCAAAAATCCCAAGGCTGGAATGTTTTGTCAGTTAGAGGGATTGATTCTTTATTTGACCTGGCTCCCAGACTCCCTAATTTATTAACAAGCGTTTAGTGATAAAGTCGAATAACACCACGTGGAGTTGTTTTACTCGCACAGTAGCTCTTTTTTGCAGTAAAAAGAGCCACTCTGACAGCTACAGCTATGGAAGCTGGAGCTTCATTCATCTCTGCCATTACAGTAACAGGAGGGGGGAAAGTGTTAACCTACCGAAAAAAGTAACTGCAAAGCCCTCCAGGACGCAAGCCCACTTCCCGAGGAAGAAATAACCCCTGGCGTTAGTCAGGAAACTTATTAATCCGCCGGTGAGGGAGACTAGAAAGTCGGCGATGGCCAGATTAACTATAATGTAATTCAGGGGCTGCCTCAGTTGTTTGAACTTGAAAGTGACAAACATGACCAGGAAATTTTCGGTTAAAGACAGCGAGCTGACCACAAACATGAGAACGGCCAGGATGGTGAAGTTCCAGGGCGCGATGTTCTTGATGGGTCCGTTAAAGGGATCATCGGTGGTGGAGAGTTCAGGTGCCACGGTGTAGGACACGCCGTTCACTGACACGCTGAAGGTTTCCATTTTCCGTGTCCGGAGAGTCCGCTGGCTGCTCGCTAACCCTAACCTCGGTCTCCTCTTCTCATACTCACAACTTAACGTGGAGTCTGTGCCAGACAGGCGCGCTCTGCAGTCACTTGGAAACGCGCCGCTTGCGCTGAGCACGCTGTGCGCTCCGGGACTCCTCTTTCCAAAAGTTCAGATGTTGAAATCCGCGCTGGCCGCCGCGCATGGCGAAGCGCAGGACGGAGAAATCCGCTAAACGCGCTTGGGCGTGATTGTGCGCCGCTGCTGGAAAGTGTCAGTCTGCATGTGAGAGCGGAGCAGAGCGCGAGCTGTGCGCTGCGGTCAGGGGAGATGTCTTGAAAAAGCGCGAGTGGACGAATGATCGGGGGCATCTTGGCGGCTCTTATATAGGCGGCTCCGGCATCGCTGCTGCCCTCCAGGACGCCCTCTCCGTGCGCGCTTCAGTTCAAGCTCCGGACACTAATCACAGTCCAGTCTCCAGGCTTGGCGCGTACTCCGGATGAACCCGGCAGCACATAGCTGCCATCCAACACTTTTACACAGGAGCCAGTAATTACTACCCTGCATGATTAATAGGCTACATCTAGTGTGTGGCTATTTTTAGGTGCATTTCAAAAGGACACGTAGAGATCTGGTGATTTTCGCCTTTTCAGTGCGCAATTTATTAGTGATGCATAATTAGGCACTGCAGCGGAGTGATTGGTCACAATGGACCTGATGTATTCGTCTAAATTAACTATAAATGTTCACCTTTAAACTCTCTAAAACTCACATGCATATTAAAGTCCTTGAGCGATACTTGTTAAATTAATCTGGATAATTAGTCTCTACTCACATCTACAGGAATCCATCATTTATGGCACACAAATTTAAAAATTCGTGTGTGCTGCAAATTGATCACATCAAAGCTCTCTGTTATAAGTAAATATGCAATTAAAAGTTCAAGTCACACAACATGATGGTGTCAAACTGGAACACACCTGGATAATTACCAACCCAGTCATCCATTAATCTTATAAAGGCGAACATTTTACAATACAGCCTGTTATGCTCCAAAGCACCCTTTATAATCTGAGAGAAAATGTTTGTGCAGAGAACAGTCTGAAAGCAAGTTCAGTCATCATTTATTTACAACCTAAGAAACATGAACAAGGAAGGTTGTACTTATGCCGATAAACCACAGATTTTTAAAGAAATCAGAAGGCTGATTGACTGTATCCCAGTCAGCAATAACATTAAGACCACCGGGTGAAGGTGATCAGGTCTTTACCTTTGAATGTAAAGTGCCACCACATTAATATTTTTATATATCCAGCCACAGGAACAAGCACTGACATACACATTTGAAATCTCAAGCTAAGTGAGCGTTCATTGAATGGACCGTTCAACTGTTAGTGCCACTGGAGAGAACCGGTGTCCCTGCTCCAGCAGGTCAGAGTTGTTTTCATACATTTATGAAATGTATGAAAATTGCACATCATTGAATCTCTCATCAGACGAGAGGCTAAAGTACAAACTTGTCTCAGAGGATTTTTAAAGCTCTTTTAAAGAACTAGAGGTTTAGTGAAGGTTGTGTATTCTAAATGATTTGTTTGAAACAGCTTCACTGTTAATTAGTGGAAAGTGTCTCTTCAAGAGCATTTTTACATCATATTGGCTGTTTAGGGGTAAGAGGAGAATTTCTTACTGAGAAGACTGCCAGCATTCCCCAGTCCTGCCTGTGTAACTTAACTGCAGCTATCCAAAACATCTTCTTTCAAGCAAGAAAGTCAAACATCCAGCGCTATTGAAAGCTGTGTATACAGAGAAACCACCTCATATATAATTCCTACACAGTGTGAGACATTATTAGTTGCTCAAAGGTTATAGAAAATAACACCACAAGAAAGGTGCATGCAGCGCTAAATAAAACTGCTCCTGACTTTAAGTTTGTGTAATTCAGTGATGATACAACTCAGTCCGAGGCACGGCACGAAGGTTCAAAAGGATCAAGAGTTTCAAAAGGATTAGGAGTTAAAGATTAGCTCCAAATTCATTCCCAGTCAAACAAACATGTCATCTATATTTCAGGTTCCACTTTCATGTTAACTTAGAGCCAGAACCTGAAGGTCAAGCCTGCACAGAACTTTTTCCTCTGAGGTGAATCACCTTCCTGCTGTCTCCATCACAGCCCAGTCTTTGATCTAGTTCCCTCTTGTGGAAGCCAGCTTGTCACACCTCAGTGACCATCACGTAAATGAGGATTTATTGCCTGCTCTAACTGTCCAGACCTCTGTATGACTGCTTTTGTTTGGCAGGTGTTTTAAAGCTCTACTGCCGAGCTCAACCTTGTGCTTTTGCTCAAGAGAGACAAAAGATCAGATTCACTTAGTTCATCTTTTGCTAAAATGCTTTCCACAGTTTCTTCAAATACAACATCATTTAGCTCCAGCAGTGATTTTCTATTGCACCTGACATATACTTCTGCATGAACACCTACGAGCCTATCAGTGTAATTCAGTGGTGTAAATGTCAATGATATAATCACTATGACAGCAGGATGACATGTCACATTCCTCTGGCTCATGCTTATGTTTTTTTCCAGCACTGATGTTTCTCCTTTTTAGGTAACTGACAGAACAAATTCATCTCTTGGCTCTGTTACATGTGTACCAGTCTTCTGTGGCACCGGATAGGAGTCCAAGCCCAAGGGTGGTGGGGGGGAATCACTGTAAACTAAAGGACAGAACTGCAAAAGTTAGATGGTCACTCTATAATGGCATAATGGCACTCTATGATGGTGTGGAAATGGCTGAAATGGGAGAAGCTCATTCACAGATTTCTTTCTTGCTTAGTTAGTGATCCAATAAGCTGTTTATGTTTTAAGTTTTTTGAGAAATGAAAACACATAGCTGGGAAAATTAGGTTTCTTTATTTCCTTAAAAAATACCCAACTTACAGAATAGGACAAGGCATGCAATTAGGCTATTTAGAGAAAGATACCTAAGTAAACAAGAAAAATTATGCAAAGTTTAGATGAGGGATACATGTGAGGGTCAGGGTCCTCTTTTATGTTCAGTGCAGTAGACAGGGAGAAGGGTTATAGGACCAATAAATAGGTCATTTCCTTTCAAACCAACACAGGACTTCTGCTTGGCCGAATCCGATTTGCATAAAAATTTTATGCTACAAAGTTTGAACATATATAATACTGTGAAACATATATATTTGAAATTGCTTTTATCTTTAGTAGTTTTTGAGGTATTCATGTTCAAATAGAGTCTCAGATGTCAATGTGCTAAAAAAAAATGGAGACGACTGAACAGAAAATATTCCAAAAATATAATTTCTTGAGATGAAAAAAATATCCGCACATGTTCAACACAATGATTTCCTGTGTTATAATCAGAGTACCATCTGGAAACATGAGAATATTGTTCTATTTAATCAGGACAGTCTACTGATGGGGTTTGTTGTGGTTCAACTTGTCATATTTGCTCCAGCATGAAAGTTGCATAAATAGAATGATAATAGAATTTTATTCATTTTTGTGACAAAAAAAAAGACATTTAAAAAAGTTTTCTACACACTTTTACTGATAATACTGTGAAATTCAACTAGTTTTCTATTGCAATGTGGAAATTTTAACAATGTCTGACTTTGTAGGAGCGTGGGACTGTCATTTAATATTTTAAATTTTCAAAAAAATGTATAAATCACATGTTTGTTCAAAGAGATAATTGCAGGTTCTAAAAACTTTTGAAATATTTTGCAGCTGTAGGGCGGCTGCAGTTGATTTCTATAACCCCTTATAAGAAATTTCTGGATCATGAGTGAGTGTATTATATTTGTTTATTTTGATGGTGCAGTTTGTGCTTTTGTACATTTCTGCCTGATATGACTGACACCAACTATGCGACAGTGCAGATCTGAACAACTCACAGTTGAGATGGAGGATGTATTCAGCTTAAAAGCACATAAAACAGGCTTTCCTTATTAGGATCTCATCAAATTCAAAGGCATCACAAAAGCATTCATTTTTAAAATATTGACTGGATTTGATGTACGGCTGTTTCTCGTGAGCATGGGGTAAAAGGGTCCTAAAATAACCTACGTTATTCTACTGCCTGTACTCTAGATCACTTGGCAGTGTGCAGACAACACATGTTTTATACTATTCAGGCTTAACGTAGAAGAATTTACCAAACAATTCTAAAACCAGTGAATTCTCTGCAGCTTTTTAAATCTACAGTCGACTCAACGTCTAAGTCTCGTCTGAAATGTTTGATCTGAATTTGAATACTAGACCATATATAACACACATCCATGAAAAACCCACGCACTGCTTTTAAGAATTGTGTATTCAACAAGCATAGTTGGTGTATTTTAAAGTTCTCTCACGCAACTGTCTGGTTATCAGAAGTTGGGCCAAAAAAAATAAAAAGGCATTTTTGTGTACTTTGATTTCGTAGCATCTGGTTGTATGCAGTAAACACCAAAGCCGTGTAAAGAAAACATTTTATCCTTCACTAACAGTTTCATTCCGTTCCAGGAGCGTCCACGTCAAACATTTGAGATCATACACAGACTTAGAAAATCTGTGTAGGTGGCAGATGCTGACAGTCAAGGTTCATTTCACTCCATTGTCACATCGAAAGCAGCTATGAGCAGTTATAACTATGGTGGTAATAAAAGTTTTACAACCGAACAAGAACTAAATAAATAGAGAGTCATGACACATACCTGTTTTTTGGATTTAAACTTCATGACTGATACACTTTCCCCCTTTTATTTCAATGGCAATATAAAACAAATATGCAGGACTGCATTCTTGCACTTGTTCAATATCTCTAAAAACATCCTTTCTGAAATTGATGCTGAAAAACTAGTTCATGCATTTATTACTTTTAGGTTGGACTTTGTAGTTTATTATTATCAGCTTGTTCTAAAAGCTCAGTTAATCCAAAATGCTGCAGTGAGAGTACTGACAGGGACGAGACAGAGAGAGCATATTTCTC